TTGGGGGGTCGACGGGGGTGTTAGGATATCGCCTTCCCGGAAGACGAGGTATAGTTAGGGTAGCGTGGTAAAGAATACGGTGCGATTGGTCGTGTGTTTTTCTGCCCTCACCCTACTTGTCTAGATCTGTATGACCTCGATTTACAGGTTTTTACTTAGTTTAAACTCTTGTCTGATCCGTTAGATTTTTACAATATTGTCCCTTTATTAAATGCCTGTAAACAAATTACGTAAGTGCTTCTTTAATTCTGGTGTGTTTCTCAAGTTCAACGAACTTCTACCCCCCTTTTTTTAAATTAATACGGCGATTTCACTCCCCCTTTTTTAAAGCACAGACAAATCAAACGGTCCTTTGTAACCACCCAATCACTCTGAACCTTCTTTAGGGTCCTTTATAAATAAATAACTTCGATTTCCCTGCTGCATCTTGTAGAATTATTCGAGAAGAATTACGTGAAAAAACAGTAAGAATTTAGGGGAGGAAACAGAAGGGGGAAACAATGAGTTAATTGTTGAAAAGTTCGAGAAAAACGTGTTAGGGAATTTGTAAGAAAAAATCAGGGAATTAGGAAACGATAACGCAAAAAATTCTCTGACTTTTTTTTATGAAAAGTGTGGAGAATTAAATATAAAAGGGTAATTAGGGAATTTTTAAGGGAAAAATAGACTTCGGGGAAATAAATGAGGGAAAATTCCGTTAATAGGAAAATAATTGGGGGATATTCAATTGACAGGGAAATAATTAAGGGAAAATTCCGTTAATGGGGAAATAATTGAGTGAAAATAATTGGGGGATATTCAGTTGACAGGGAAATAATTAAGGGAAAATTCAGTTAATGGGGAAATAATTGAGGGAAAAGTCGGTGGGTAGAGAAATAATTAAGGAACAAATCGGAGTGGTTAAAAGAAATTTGGAGGTCAAGGAAATAATTAAGGGAAAAATCAGTAGTTACAAAACTAATTAGGGAAAAAATCGAAGATTAGGCAAATAATTTAGAGGAAGAAGAAAACAAGTTAGGAAAAATAGAAATTATCAAAGAAAAAAATGGAAACTAAGAGGAATTCATTTGGCAGTTTATACACGTTTACTAAACATACAATTTACTCAATTTACGCTCCGTGTGAATCAATATTGATGTTTATATGTAAAATAAGAAAAAAATTTAAAATAATTTCCGCAAAATAACAGAAAAAAAGGACATCACAAAGCAAGGAAAGTTAAATAAAATAACAGAAAATTTACAATCATCGTTAACTAGTAATGGCAGAGAAGGGGTTGGGAATTAAGTGAGGAACGTAGGAGAGTTCATTAAAAGATTATTGACCGCTTCCAGGAAGTAATACGATACTCAGACAAATATAAAATGCAAAATATGAAAATAAGCAGATAAATAAATGTCATTTTGTTTGGCTTAATTGTAGAAAAACAAATTTGAATTTCGTACAACACGCCTCTCTTTCTATACACACGAATATAACATTAACCTCTCGAATTCCTCATGAATATATACGAGTTATATCGTTAAAATTTAGGGAAAAATAGGGAAATAAGCGAGAAAATTACTTCTTATTAAATCTACAATTGGTTTATCGCTAAACAAACATATAAATTGAGCGTGTTTAATGTAAAATCGACAAGCTTAATAAAATTTTTAGGGAAAATAGAGTGAAGAAAGCTCCCTATTTTCCCCTTAATGCTAGTTAGGTTAAGTACGGTAAAGTTTACTTAAAATTTAAACAGGAGCGATCATTTAACTCTAAATTACTAGAAGCTCCTCGTAAAACTTTTTAATAGCCAATTAAACGTAACTGTTACGTTAAAAAAAGTGGAAATAAAGAAATTCTGGACAAATTACAGGCGTAACAAACCGCTTTTTTTTAAATAATAGCCTTTTATTAACTTTTAAACTATTTAAAAAAAGAAATTCGATGGTGCCACGTGAGAACTGGAGCATTGTTAAGTAGCAAAGTAACAGAGCAATGGCGTAACTTCAATTCGAGATATAGGTTACTGTAATTCGTCTGTTATTAATAACAATTCCTTATAAGGTCTGCTAGCCCTATAGAAACCCTACAAACAATTCTATTGTGTAGAAGACACTCCTGGCAAAGAGCGAATCGATAGCCAAGAGGGGTGCCAGTTACATAAAACGATGTCTGCCAACGTTTATCGCGAGTAACCCGAGAAGCGTTACGTTAATCACATTTTTTTCCACGAAATGTACTTAAAAAACTGACATTGATTTACATTTCTTCGTATTTTTTTTGCCATTAACCATCCATTGAATCGTAAAAAACCCCTTTGAAGTCCTTCAGAAAAGATGGGTTTTAAGAACACGTGCAACGTTTTTTGAACTTCTTAAAGTCTTGTGATGTCATAAAACGACTTCCAATTATAGTTTCTCCGCAGTCGAAGTTTAAAACGTGACCCACATAATGAATCATGCACCCGATAGTGTCAAGGATACAGTTCTAATTTTGCATAAAGATGTTCAGATCCATTACATTTCCAGGTTACTTAATTGTCGATTATTACTTGTAATAATTGATTTTTCTATCCATAATATCGATTAAATAATGTATAAAGTAGCTCTATATTACTTTATCTGATTGTTGATGCGATGATCCATGAAGATTTCCACCGAATGAGCCTTTCATCTGTCAGTAATTTTGAATTATTTTGTTCTTTCCAATAGAAATTATTATGAAATTTTGATCAACCATTTCCTTTTCACTTTTCCTTCATTATATTTTCACTTCGAAACTTAATTACGTTTATTTCCATGGCCATCTTTACGATTAAATTTCCATTCTTCGGATTACACCATAATGGGCATAACTTCGGGTTACAATAACTCTTTATAGCGTCATTACCAATCCGGTGCAAGTTATTAATCAAATATTCGAACGATACGCTTGCAAAACGTTCGTATCGATCGACAATATAAGTAACGAGCGTAACATTCTCTTTAATACCCACCAAAAACTACAATTTTCAGGAAGAAAAAAGGTCAATTTGGATGAAATAAAGTTAAAAAGAGGATAAAAATGTAGATATAAAATCATTTATCCCATTTTTTTCCTACAGAAAGAGAGAGTTTAGAAGGATCACTCGACACTGTTACAAAATCGTTTCTGGGTCACTTCAACTGCATCACTTTCCTCTTCAGTTTATAAATTAACTAAGAGGAAAAGTGGAACCAACAAACAACCTTGTTACGTCTGCATTTGTAGCACTAAACTAACCCAAATGATGACCTAAATTAGCATTAAAAATTACATATATAAGTTAACGAACGTAAACCGATAATTCCTTTCAGTTTCTTCTAATCTTCTTTGTTTATTTACCATCTTTAACGGTGGTTACGGATAAATCAAGAAGTTCTCGCTGATGTGTCACTGCAGAAATTTAATGTTAACGAGCTTGCAACTCACAATGCTTTCTTCGAAACCACCTGCCAGTGTTTGGCAGCTGTAAATGATTATAGGGAAGTTCCCCCCTATTCGTTTCTTTGTGCTGCAACAGATGCCCTTCGAATGTTCTCGCTGTGTTTATTGTCTGTTTTCTCATTACCTCGGCCAATTCTCGACCGTTCGTTCGCTCTCGTGAGCATTTATAAGTGGCACAATAACTAAATTATACGTGATTTTCTTTTCATTTTTTTTTTCATTTTGTCGTATTTGTGTCCTTAATATCTAGCTTTTGTTTTCTTCGTTACGTAAGATCTTATCTATATCTTTTATGCCTTATATTTTCCTACACTCTCCTATACCCACTAATACTTTCCTATATCTCCTTATATGTCCCTATATTTTTCTATCCTCTTCTATATATTCTTATAACTTTTCTTTACTTTCCTATACCTTTCAGTAACCTCTCAATCCCTTCAATTCTTTGTTACGTTGAAAATTTATTCTTTATTCAACTTTTGTACATGGCTCCGGAAGTTTTATTCATTCAAGCGTAGGCCGGGTCCATATCAATGGGAGGCGATCACGTGATTCTTCCTCCCTTCCCTTTCCTCGTGTCGTCCTCCACCCTGAAAGGGCAGTTTGCATCTCCCACCCTTTCCTCCTCCCTTTTTTTACAACAGCAAAACATCGCTTTGCTTTCCCAATTGTTTGATATTTGTGTCAAACTTTACGTGATCAAAGCGTCATAAGTTGACAATTTTATTATATAATTTATTTCTCTTTACTGTGCAACACACGCCAAGTATCGTGACTAACGAGGTGACGTCAGAAAACGTCATAATTCCCTTGTTTTAATCCATACTAGAAACTTGCACCGCCATCTTACGAAGAGTACTTAAAACACTGTATTTTCTGTATAATTTATTAAAATATTTGTACAAATTAATGGAAAATATTGTTATAAGCAATTTTTAATTAATTTAAAATAAATATATTTAAGAAAATTAGATTTTGATACGGCGTAAAGCTTTAGTAATGACAACGCTCAGAGCCACTTCAATATGCAAATTAGCAAGAGCTGTTGAATAATTTTGAAGAAAATAATGGTTGTAATTATAACTTACGCTTATAAAATTAATTATAACGATGTATAAATCTAGTTAATCTACATATAAAACCCCTCTTTAGCTCATTGCAGGTTCTCATTGAGGTTCTTCAGGAATATTTTCATACTCCTGAAGAACCTCTTTATTTATGATTTACGTTCATAATCTTTAACCACAGTCGCTACAGAAATGACTTCAGAAATCTTGCCCCTAAATCCCTAATAACTGCGAAATTGACTTTGCATATGGCATGGCTCGCAACTCTAATAGGATACCATTGGCATCCCATTAGGTACTAATTCTATAAAGGTTCTCCTGAACTGTAATACATGGTTCCGTTCCTGAAACCACGATACTTTTCGGTAATTAGCCCATGTGAGAATGTTTTATGGCTCCAGTAGGATGCCAATATGTAAATTTTGCCTAATTTATATTATTAAAAGTTATAAGTAATTATATAAGGAACTTTTATAGACTTACTTAGGATTTTTCGCTCGGTGTTTCTTGAGATTATCGTTAAAATTTAAAGTAATAATAGCATGATCATCATGACAATTGGCTTGAAGATTATCGAAAGAATTTCCTTTCTCACAATTAGTCGAAACGAATAAAGTCATACAACTGGAGTTCAAAAAAGAACTCTTCTTTCCTTCCATTCCAGATCTTCACCTGTAATTAAAATATTACAATTTCAATTCCGTGTGTAAATTAACTAAATATGGACTTTAAAATATCTTAAAATAATAACTGATTTTATCGTTATTATTATTATGAATTGTTTAAAATCCAAAAATCCCAAATTTGGAAGGGATCCACCAGTGGCCTAGTGGATAAAATCATTGTGGGTTCGAGCCTGACCATTTCACGTGTTTAACACTGAAAAAAGTTTTGCATAAAAAGTCCACCTAGGAGCGCCTTGAAAACTTGGTTTAGTGGAAACCAATCCAAGTTTTCAATATCAATTTATGGTATTCGAGGTACTTCATTACAATAATTATAAGAATGGTAACACTATGGATGAACTAACCCATTTCTGACTTTTTAATGAAGAAATCGGGCATCTTTTCGAAGAAAATTATATTTTTATGTTGGATTCACGTATTTGGATTTAAAAATCGCATCTTTACTCACGAAAAAAGGTTTATTGGTGTTTGGATGTTGGATTTCGGATCTTAAAGCAATGTGTAGTTGCCATTGCATCTTTCTCACTTTTGAATTTCGCACTCAGTGTTTCAAGAACCATTATAAGAAGATTTATGGATCTCTTGGAAAGAAATCTTAATGAAACTTCAATATCTTAATTAATGCTGGAGGAAGATTTAGTTGAATTACAGCACTCACGAAGAAAGGTAAAATGGTTATACAGTATATTTTTGCTAATTATACAATATGTGGAAATATTCCTTGCTTATGTCCTCCATATTATATAACCATCTGGCCTATCTATAGATTCCTGTGCCATAAATGAGTACGCATAACCAAATTTAGACTCTATAACATACAAAAAGCCCTGCTTATTTTAACCAAATAATAATGGGGAATATTCCAAATTTGTTGGAAAGAAATGCAAATCCTAACGATTGAAAGAAATTGCTACTCAATTTGATTCTGAATTCGAGTCATCGTGAATTTTTACAGCTAACTGCACCTATGGGCGTTGTTCTCTATTGGTCCCATTGTTACTTTTCATTGCTGACCTCATTGCTGGTTTTGCTGTGTTCTCTATTAACCCCATTGCAACTCGGGGCATTTCTCTCCTGATCGACCGTACATTGCTGGATTCGTAATGGACAAAATTATGGCCTGTGCCTAATTTACCATTTAGAGAATGTTTAATGTTACCTCTCTACTTATATTTTACAGAATATTCTAATTTGAACGAACGTAACTCGAATTAATGCTTTCTTAACATGTTTATTGTACTGTATATTACGTTACGAATGGATTAAAAGGTACTCAATTAATTATCTTTAATCTATAAATCATAAATTGTTGATTTGTTTTTGTTAATTTGCATCAGCTGTAAAGAATGTAACTCAATGGTGAGGTGCCAAATTCCAAGATCCACAGACTATGAGCTGTCGTTCGAATTTAGTATAATCATCGCTCTTCATCTTCTCCAAATTTTAAAATTACAAACGTAATTTTCGGTGGAGTCGATGAATCTGAACAGATATTTCTTTGAAAATAATGTATAATTTGGGAACATTTTGAATTTTCTTTCTTTGAATCGGTTTTCTTGAAGCACGTTTCCATTCCTTGTCAGACTGCCATTTTGTTGGTGATACATTCGCTTATTTTAGTAGTAAATTTCTATTTTGTTGCTGTGCTAGAAGGTGTTTCCTCAATAAAAGAGTAATAATAGAAAACTGTAATTAACAGAGAAGATCCTTTGCAATAAGAGAAATTCAAGAGATTCCTTGTTGCAATTCAAAAATTTCTTTTGGTTTATCAAATAATGAATCTTTTTTTTTCATTTTGCTTCGATTATTCTTTAATTATGAAGCATATGTTCTATTGGAAAACAAAAGTATTCTGTAATAATGGATAAAAGCATAATTACTGTGTATAGAGGGAAAAAGATCAAAACCAAAAGCCAGAGCTTAAGACCTTACTCTTCTAAACTCTACAATTTGGTGAAAGGGAAGATCCCTCTTAGATGTTACTGCTTAGAGCCTCAAGTCTAAATCCTAGTTTTCTTATGTAAATCTCGAAATTAGATATGTAACGCCATAGATATAGTCTTTATCTTTCTTCAGAACGAATATTAATCATTTTAAAGGTTGAATTAGAGGAAGATAATTCTTAAATGAGTAACTTTCAATAGTAGAATTTAAAATTTAACACGAATTTCTGAAATTATTCTAAAGAATCTCAGCTGTGCCCTTAAATCTCCTCACGAATTTTCTATGCCATTCGTATCAGAAGCAGAAACAAAGTAACTTAAGAATAAATATTTGAGAACAGAAAATTAATTATAATTAATATTGAAAAATGCCGTCAGAGTTATAATTTAGAACGAAATGATGGTCAAAATGCACAAAATTATACCCACCTTTAATATAATTGTTCTTCGGGGACAGGATAATACAATAACACAGCTACAAAGCGGAACTTTTAAGAAATTACAGAGGCACAACACTACGAAACACTACGAGAGTTATCGCTGTGTGTTCTTCACATGATGATGTAACAAAGACCCCTTTCTCACTTCACTTTACGATAATCTTAGCTTCATAATGTAACTCCAATTGTGTTTAACGTAACCTCTATCCTTTCTCGGCGTTAAGATACAATTTTACCACTTGATTCGAGTAGAAAGCGGGTAAAGAACACCAGAAACAAGTGTAGAACATCTTGGTGGGATCGAACGGACAATAATTAATACGTTATCGTTAATTTCGTGGTCTCGTAATTAGGACACGTGTACCAAAATTTCTAACCGGTATGCAGACGTGTCATTGTTATAATGATTATGTTAGTGAAATGGTAACGGTGCCAACTCGTTGTTTAGACGTTTCTTTATATACACGAGCTTCTGTTTTGGCCTACCGAAACGAAAAAGGGGGGAGAAAGAATTGGCATCCAAACAAAAACTCGAGATGATAATACTTTAATGGCGACACTCGATAAAAATAATGTTCATATATTGTTACGTTAGTTCTATAAATTAATAAGAAGAAAGACGTATTGTTCTTTATTTTTCAGGTTTTTGTTTAAAACATTTAGCAGTTTGTTTTGTCCACAATAATCAAATTTCCATTGTTTTTACGTAAATTTTCTATTGTTTATCGAAGAAAAACGTATATTTACTGTGTACTGGAGTAGAATTTATCTCCATTTTGTCCTGTAAGAACTTCATTCTGTAGTTTTTAAACCTGTTAAATTAGACAGTTCCCCATTTAGACAGGTGAAATTAAGAATGAAATTCCCCTCAGATTGCTATTGAACAAGGTAGAACCCCGATTTACGACTGGCATAAGTTTTCTATTGTCTATAAAATGTCATATTTAAGTACCTAACTGTTTGTTGGACATTCCGTTATAGTGTTATAGAGTTCAAATTTCGTTTCCAGGCACAGAACTGGATGGACAAACCTCAATTTGTAAACTAAACCTGCGAGAAATTGGAATTAGATTTATGACGGCTCTCTCGATTTTCTAGGAATTACTTAGGCCCTAAAGCAGAAGGGGATATTATTGTTTATTGTAGTTATTTCTCTTAAATTCTGTGACTCTTCTCTCCAAAGTATCCAATCGTAACCTCATTCGTGCATTGCAGTCAAGTGATTCTCGAATGTGGCCTTCAACAGGCTTTCTTTATTAAATTACAATGGATAATTCATGTATTTTGCTATGAACAGAGCGAGGCCTCACAGCCTGAGGACCTAAGCTGGCGTATGTGTAACTCCAACCCTGATGACCAGGGTTCCTTGATCTCTGAACGACCCGAGCTTGTTATCTAAACTTTGGGAGTGTTTTTATGTATAAGACAGATAAGTGGATGTGAAATTTAATTTAGGACACGTAAGATTGTGTAACAACTGGTAAGGCTAGAATTCATTTAAGAAATTTATTAGATTTCGTTCGTTTGCAGAATGTTAATATGTGACTGAACGTCTGGTTTCAAGTCGTAGATGGCGAGGAACGTCTTATTCTTGTTTACAAATATCAGTTATGCAAATGAGTTATGACCCTTTTCGCTTTAGGAATTTACCAGAATTCAAATAATTCGCTACAGCATGCAAAAGGAACTATATTGCATCCTGCACCAAATAATAATGGGCAATATATATATATTGTATTTAAGAAGAAAACCACACTCCTTGTAACTTGAGGCCCTAATATTTTATGTAAATCCGGCTCAGGTTGGCATACACTTATATGGATTCTCGCACTATCCTTTTGTGAGAACCTTCACGCATGGAGATGCTGATAGAGAATGCCACAGTCTCACGAATCTCACATCTTCTTAATGTCCATTCGCAGTGGTGCTTTATCCTATTGACACAAAGGTAATTGCTTGGGGTTCCACCAACAGGGGTGCCCAAATCAATCTTTTATAAGAAAACATTCCCCCAAAGAAAAATGTCTGAAGTCAAACACTGTACACGGGGTCCCCTAATTCAAATTTGCCTGGGTTCCATGAAGTTATAACGCGCTACTTTCCATTCTTTGACACGAGACGTTTACCTTGAAATTCCCTTCGCATCGATGATCTTGCACAAGATTTTTCAGTGTATTTAATTGGATATCAACTTTTTGGCATGTACTTTTAATCTCATATATTGCTTACGTAATACTTGCAGCTTGAAGAGTCGCTTCAGGTTACACCTGTACTTTAAACGTGACCAAATTTACATGATTATTTTTCAGTATTATAAAATTGATATTCTTTTTATAATCTTTAATTACTTTCAGTTTGACATTAAAGAAATTTTTATTCTTTTTTTCGACCATTATGCAATTTCATCATTGGAACGAAGATTCGAGTGCTCTTTGTTCTTACAAGTTTAATTTCAAGTGGAATATATTAGCTTACATATTCAAAGAACTTCAAGCCTCATTGAAATAGTTATACCCGCTGAACACTGGTAAGTTGCGGGTTCGCGCCTCACTAACCGACTGGCTAGTGGAATTTTCTATGATTTCTTCACGTGTATAGCACCTAAATGGGAGCCGATTTCCCATAGAAAGTCTTCTTGCAGATCACTCACATGTTGCATTGATTTCTCCTATCAAGACACTTTACGAAACACTTGAGGAACACTTTTTAAATAAACAATTATCAACTTTAAATGTCTCCAATGTAAATTCTACTGAAATGATTTCAATATTCTTCAAAAATAATTGCATTTTTTAACGGTAATGTTATTTTTCCCCCATAATTTGCTCTATCACAATAGAGGAATTCATGGTACTTCAGCAATCAATGGAAAGAAATGAAGAAAATTTCATTTTAAAATGATATTTTTCAAAAATTTCATAAATGCAACAAGCTTAAGTGAATCATTTTCTAAATTTTTATTACGTGAAGCTGTGAAGGTGTTTTTGAATTGTTCCCCGTCGTAAGGGAATTTCTAAAATTGATTACCAAATTACTCTGCAAGAAAAGAATTTCGATTTTTCAATAAATTCTGTTATATTAAGCAATACTTTTCTGAAAATAATTTTATTTTTCAATTGTTTTTCTCAGAAAATTTCAACAGAAATAGAAAATGTCCCATGCAGAAGATAACAAACAAACTAACGTTGAAGAAATTGAATACGCCTTCAGAAAAACGATAATATTTTGAATAAATTTTTCACTAGACCCGTATAAATTCAAGAGAATTTGATCAATAAAATATGCAAAATTTATAATTACTCGTCATAAAAGGTTTTAAAAGTAAAAAACTCTCCAAGAATTTTTCATGAACGATCGTCCCGGATATTTCTGGCCCCATCCTTCACTCCCCCATAGAACATTAATAGTTTGCGCAGTTTTTTCACGTGTCTAGCACCTAAATAGGGCCAAACATCCCATAAAAAGTCCTCTCGGAAGGCTGACTCAACCCTTGACTGATCGCCCATACTTACTATTGTCTTATTCCGTAAATTCAGTCCAATTACCAGGATGCCCCCATTATAGGCCTGCCCGAATCCACGATGGGTACGGACAAAAGGCCTTCTTATTTCCACAGGGCGAAAAGTGTTAAAAACGATAAGGTCGCACATGATGAATTAATATATCTGGAGCTATTTTTATTTTATTTTCGACTGTGGGTACACTAGTAGATCCTTTTAAATTATATTCAGCCGGATGTTGAGGAAATGGTTCCCACGTATCCGGAGTTACGCTTTATAAGTACCATTTAACAATAAAAATTCTAACATATTACCTTAAAATTACTTCAAACAATTGATTTTAAGATATTTTAGAAGGTGTTTTAGCACTCTAGAGGGCTAAATTCAATTTTTTATTTACCTAAATCGTGATTTCTTCCTTTGGATGAACTTGCAGTAGAATTTGTGCTTTGTACTTTATGTCTAAAGTATTTTCAATGATGCATTGTTGACAATTGCATCATTTGCTTCCAAATTCATTCGATTTCTAAATATTTACGAGCCAAATTTCGTTTTAAATTGCACAAGAGATTGCCGAAGATTGCAAACAACAAGATCCCTTCCAACGCCAACAACTGATTTAATTTTATGTAATGGTTCAAAGTTCTATTTTTAGTTATATTTACGTCTATTGCGAGTTGTAATAGATTTAACAGCTTCCGTGTTACCTATATATAACGCATTTTAATCCAAAAAAACAAGTTTTTTGCTAAGGACCTCCTCCTCTTCTCCTCATCATCAACTAAGAGAACACATTCTCTTCTCCTTCTACTAACTCCAACTACTTAAATTATTTATTATTATTATTAATAATGGTATCTAGAAATGACAATAAGCATATTTTTATGCACTTTGTCATTAAAAACCCCGATTTAACGTAGAATTATGAAAGTTGCAACATGCGGAACTTCACACACTTTCTATGGTTCTACTACTAATTCGCGCGCTTAATTTAGCAAAATAAATCAACGATTATATGGAAAATACGTTTTAAAAGCTTAAATATAATCAATTATTGCATTTAAATTAAAAAAATAGTTAATTAATCCTTGACTTACGATGCAATCCTCTTGAAAAACGTGAAGTAGCCTTCGACAGTGGATTGTATTAACTCTTTTCCCCCCCTTTTCTCTAATAAATTTAACCAAAAACTAGTTTGAAAGATGTTACGCAAAATAATACGCAACTTTCTAGGAAACCCCGATTTAGTGCAAAAAACTTTCAAATTCTCTATTATTAATTTTTATTTTAATTCATGATTTGAGGCAACCGCCTGTTACCCTAAATGATGAGGTCGTGTATTTAATTATATCAACATACACACTGTAACTATGTTGCACACAGAATATACAATATTCCTAAACAGGTAATCACTAAATGGGAATTTCCTATAACGTTTTTTCAATTGCAAAAACGTTGCATAAACGTTGCAGGATCTATTGTAAGAATGGGAATTTGTTTACAATTCTTTGTTTTTTTTTATATTTCGCGATTGTAACTACTAAAATATAACTATTTCGATGGATAAATTAAGTTTTAAAAAACGTTAAAACGGGGTTATTTTCTAAATTTCTAAACAAAATTTCTTATAAAAGGGGGGAAAGGTCGTTTACTGCATCTCGAAATCACACACACACACACACTAATTTCTTCTCTCGTTTTTTTTTTATTTTTAACTATAAATGGCGGAGTAATGCGGGGTTAAAGGTCAAAAGAGAGGGAGAATCTGCCATTTTAATATACAAAAATCCACTTACTCCTTTATTAATTGTAAATACTATCGACTAACTTCCTGTAACGTTCGCGACACTCTCGAATGTGTTACTCTTCATTGTTTCTTCCAAATCACCTAATTTATCCTAAAGTAACCCGGTTTATAGGGACGGATGCCAATATCGTCCCCCCCCTCTTCCCGTTCTCACTCCCCTTCAAGTCAAAATACTCTTACTAAGCCATAGAATGAACACAAAAGACAGATCTACACCCCCGTTTAGAAACGATGTTACTGCATACAAACCTTGCAAACCACCCCCATCCGGGCCATATTTAGGGGTTAAATTTGCAGAAAAACTGCTAAAATATGCTGTGGTTTGATACTTAATAGAGCTAAAAGGTTGTATTCGATCATGCAACATCCGGAATTGGAGAAGGAAGCGAACAAAGAACAAAGCTCTTATCGACGAGCTACCGATCGAATAGGTAATAACCTAGCAACGTCACGTGTTCTTATTGTTATGGTGAGAGGTCTAAGACCCTTTTGTTGCTAAGGAAATGGTAGTAAAAAAATATAAATGAAATAATTCTTACCGGGTTAAATCCGTGCCACTCCATTTTCGGAGATACAATGACCCTGTAACGAATTAATTACAATTAAGCTAACGTAACACATAACGTAACGAGATTCGATAATAACGCTTACATCTTAACTATTATGACGCGTAAATTACATAATTATGCACGTAAATGCAAGAGAAGATACTCACAGAATAGATGAGGAAGCTCTTGTCTCGCTCTCTCTCTCTCTCTCTTTCTCTTCCTCTTCCTCCTCTGGTTGCTAGGAAACGGGATTCCGGGATTCTCTACGATTTGTGAATGGCAAAATATTTCGTGTATCCGTCCAGATTTTTGGTATGATCATCGCATTTTTAACACGGATCGAGCGATGGTCCTCTCGAGCTATTTTTTGCAGAGTTTATGCTGGAGAGGGAGCCGAGATGTGAATGAAAATTTGGCAAACAGAACGATCCCACTCCATGTTTGCAAGGGATGGAAGTCTTTAGTTGGAGGTTTGGCTTATTGTATCGATTTATGCAGGTGCCCGGTCGTAAGTTATTCCCATTGGAAAGAGGAAAAACAAGATTCAAACGTGTTGATTCTTCTAATGACACTTCTCAAAAGTCTTGGAAATTAATACGCTGCCTTTCTGTTAGTTTCTCTTTATTGATATATTTTGAACCTGTTTAAAAAAGACAACACATCATTGGATTTTTATGGAAAGTTTACTTGTATTTCTATCATATTCCAGCTTAATTTATGAGTTTAAACAATTCAAATGATAAATGCATTAACATTTTCATTGTTTTAAACAACTCAGTTTATTGTTTATAGTTGACAGAATTTTCACAATAAACATCTGAAACGTATCAATTTTACCACCAACATTGGGATAGAAATTAGTTTTTTCTCCTCAGCATATGGTTTTTGCCTTCAACATTATATTAGAATGTACTTTCCACCCTTAGCATTGGTTTATAATTTAGTTTTCATCCTCATCATTTAAATAGTTTGTAGCCTCTCATCATCAGCAACTGATAAGCATGAAGATAATTTCCATTTTAAATAATTAAAGATAAAAATATATTCATGGTTGATAGAAGGTTCCACATAGATAATTTATAACTGAACAATTATTCAGTTACATTTTAAATAATTGAAACATATGTAATTATCCTGAAAATTCTGATGTGACTTACACAAAATCTCCAACCAAAGGATTCATCTTATGCAGTTACAAATGTAATAATAGGAAGCTTATTTTAAAGTTTAAAATTACAGAAGTTACAGGAAAAGGAAGAGAGAAGAAAACAGGAAAGTACAAGTGTTCTGAGTAGACAGGAGAAACTGGGATCTCCAAGCAGCAGCTAAGGCCAGCACCTTGCACACAGTGAAAATAAGGAAGGCATTCTGTGCAAGGTGTTTTGGTGTCCCCGAGCTTACTAATCAATGTAAAAGTTGCTTAAATTTGCATTCTGTGCAACCATAGTTTGAATGTAACAAATCCAGAACCAGCACTGCCGAACAGGGCATGGAATTTAATATATGTCACTGACACATGACTGAATGCATGTATGAGTGCTTTCCTCCCACTCATGGTAGAAACATAACTTTCTCTGATGTGTGTATGTAGCATCACAAATGCATTCCTTCAACTGATCTATATTGTGTATGGAGACTTTTTGTTGTTACTGTGTGTGACAATTCAAAGTATAATTTTCATTATAGTGTTTACCGTATTTTTAAATAAGACACCAACACGCATTTATGAATATTGTAAATTTATTGAAAACACATTCAAATATATTATTATATACAAGAATAGTAACCACATGATATCCGAAGCAACAAATATACATTATCTGAATATAAAAGATGAATTATCATATTTAATTAATTAGCTATATTATGGTTTGTCTTAAACCATTATAGAAGAAACCTCTTCCATCATCCTGAAGAAAATTCAAACACGTTTCATCCATTTGGTAGCTTAATTATTAAAGTAACGACCTACGACAGTTGGACGAGGATCATAAAATACATAAATGAGTTTATTTACACGATTTCTACAAAAAGTAATAAATTATTTTAATACACATGTTTTATTTGTATTAAAATTCTAGTCCAATGAAACAGGAAAGCAAAAATTTTCTCCCTTTCCCCCTTAAAACTGATGGTTTCGTGAAACAGTATTTAAAACTTTGTACAAATGTTTATTTAAATATAAAAAATCAAATTAAATCTTTAAATGCAAGAGAATACTTTTAGAATTATATAAAAAATTGGACTCTACTATATTTATACAGCACAGTTAATTTATCATAAATCAAAAATGTGTGTAAGTTGCAACCCCAAAAACCTCTAGAACGGTAGTTTCCGACTTGGCTTTTGTGATATCACAGGATGTTCCAAGATTCTCTGATACCTGAAAAGTTTAAATAAAGGGTATCGGGTATGTTACACATATCAAAAATAAGCTAGTTAGAATTCCATAGTACAAAGTTTGAAAATCATTGCTAGATTCTAGAATTTCTTGTGTTCTCCCGTTACAATGATTGGAGAAGCAAAGTCAAAGATAGATTTGGACAGAAGGGGATGACAGTTTTATAGGCAGAGTCCTTTAGAGACCATTCACTTATATTGCAGTCAGTAGGAAAATCACCTATTATGGTAAAGGATTCTCTTATTACAGATAATTTGAACTGATGCTTTATTCTATATTCTTTGTCAGTAATTCAGAAACAAGAGCATTAAAACTAAGCTAAAGAATTGTGTTAATTATAGAAAATTTGTTTTAAAAGTGTTTGACAAAATATTCAACTAGCTGTTCAATTGCTATGTTGTCAGAAGATTTCTTAATAAGAGAAGCCAAATCCACAGATAAGCAACAAAGATGTCTGCCTCCCACTGTGGATGCTTAGTCTCCAGTTATGTGAGTCGCAATGGTGATGTGTTGAGAGTGTCAAGTACTCGGTGAATGGCTCAAACCATTGAGAATATTGTATTGTATCAATTCGTTGTGATACACTCAACACGTTGACTCACATAACTCGAGACTAGGCATCCCAAGGGATTTAAACCAGAGTCGAACCTTAAACTTTTTATAGGTAGCCTGACATATATTGGGTCTGGCTCCTCACCTTCGATACAATCCTGTTACAACTCGGGCTAGCTCTAGTCTACCACATGCCATGCATTGACAAAATAATCATCCCAGAGCTCTGCCTAGTTTCTGGAGGTTGCAGACTCTTGCTTTGGCAAATCCACATTTTAAATTTATGATAAATTAAGACATGTAAAGTTATATATATAAGAAAATAACATGTAAAAAAAATTTCAGGCACTCTTTACAGTAACGATTTATATATATAAATAGATTAATTGTACTATGATTTCATTGTTTTTGGATATTACACTTGAAAAAAATTTCATCTTAAAATTATTAAATATTCAAATCTATATCAAGGCATCAATACAATATTTTTCTGCATTTTTATATCAAAATAATAATAATTTCTTGTAAAATGACAATTTTATCGGTATAAAAATTTTTACAATAATTTAAACATAATTAATATTTTGTACAGTACAATTATTTCTGTAGTTATTTGTTCTTATTATCATATGATATTACAGGTATAGATAGATATGAGTATCCTGCTTGGCATTGTTGCAAGTCTGTACACAGTAATGACTTGATATTAAGCAAGTTTATGCAATTCGGAAAGTGTCCAATGGCTAAAACATTCTATACAGGTACGTGCCATTTAATGACGAGGATATGCTCCAAGAAAATATCTTGTTAAGCAAACATCGTAACGTGTACTTAGACAAACCTATATAGTCTGTCTACTACTAATTAAAGTAATTATGTATCTAACATAGAAAATGTACCTTTTCAGCTTCATTATAGAACCTCTAATGTGATCCATCATTAAGTGAAACCCTACAAGAAGAAGAAATTTGCTAGAATAGTTTGCTAATTGATAACAAGAAATCTCATGCTGTGAACTCAGACAGACACGAGAGTTTATTAAAGGTTCTGTTGCGGACCCTTGTCGCGAGACTCCTAATCAAAATTTGTCGGGGGCTAAAATTCTTAAAAGTGGCTCTAGTCTCGTCATTGGATGGTTTGGCATCGGAAGTAAAAAAAACTCAAACAATTTTTGGTCCAATACTGATAGGCATGATAAGGCTATCTGTGAGTAAAATTTAATCTTTGATGCTTCATCCTCATGAAATTTGCACAAATTTTCAATGCCAAGCAGGACAATTACAATTATAATTTGTATTGTCGATAAAATGCTTTTAAAAAATATATATGTACTTGTATATATAAATAAAATACAAAATAAATGATATATTTCAGTTAAGAAATGCAGAACAGTATTAAAATAGAAAATAGAGCTTATATTTCTGCTGTATGTAATGTTTAATTAATAAACAGTTATCGAAGACGGATGATAAAAAATGACGACCTGAGATACGAGGATGCATTGGCGCGAAAGCATGAGAATGGATGCAATTTAAATATCAATTTTCAGTTTTTTTAACTAAAACTCTTCATATAAGAACAATGTTTTCTATAAAAAAAGAGCTGCATTTTCTTTACATAATTTAAAAAGTTTTTAGTAAAATGGCAATACGAACACGTTTTAGAATTGTTTTCTTCAAGAAAGATACGGTTAATGACGTCTTAACATTTTGATTAAATATTAAATTTCAACATTTAAATTTTTCTTGATGATAAAATTTCACTTGTGCTTATATAAATGGAGTGGCACGGTTAAAACGGAATTGTTTACTGCAGGTGGAAGCATGTTTTAATGGACTCGTCTGGCATGTTATTAAAGAATGATAGACCAGTTTTCAGCATTTTCTGTTACTAGTTCGTCCACATTTCTGATGTTGTGATCAGTCTGATTCCATTTTAACTGCACGATCCTTGACGACGTTTACTGACACGACTTTCTCGACATTGAAGACATTAGTATAAAACAAACATAACGTGCATAAAATTGAAGTATTGTAGATAGAAGCATTATTTGTAATGCTCAATATGTCCTCCACAGGAGTTATTAATAAATGGATCCTTTACAGAAGCATTTGAAATGTTTGCGATTGAATATCGTGACATTACATTAAAAAAAAATTGTCTGTTATATGCTGTCTGGCTTCAGTTTGTATGTTCTCTTCCAAATATCACATAAACATACTGTAGAATGGAAGCGGAAGAAAATAGTGAGCGGTGTCGTGACGTGAGTGATGATGGTCCAAGCCCAGAAACCGTAGAAGTTCATTTGGACTGGATTAGAATCTGCTCTTCGAGTTTCTAATGTGTTAATGGCCCACATGGCAAAATTACATACTAAGAGAAATGTCACCATCTCTCTACCTGGTTTTCTGTGTGCTTGGTCACTGCTTCTTGCATAACGTCTGGAAGCATCCAAAATGAAGATGGTCTGTAAGGTTCCCTGAATGAGACAGGCGAGTGCGGTCAGTAGAACGAGAACAGTATTTTGATCCATTGTGAAATGACCTCCGATGATGCTAAACATTGTAAATAGATAGAGACCTGTCTGAGCAACAATTAGTAAGATGTTGTCGAGCTCGTCTACGGTTCGATGAGGATTATATTTCATTTCGTGTACCTGATACAATGCTATGATCACAGCCAAAGTAGTCAAAACATACAGCACTAATTCTGCCACATGAGCTTCTAAAACTGCTAAATGCTTATAATTTGGTTTATTAATGAGGACAAAAAATATAATTAAACTGATAATTGAAATGACTAAGACCAGTATGCCTGTAAACAGACCCTTGTTTGCCTTTGCACAGTCGACTTGATAGTAGTGTCGATGTCTGGACGACATGGAAGAATGATGGACGCTACCGTTATCTGCCGTAAGAGAGTCTACACGAGACTTTCCCGTATTCTTCCACATGACATACAAAATAGCTGCACAGATTAAACTGTATTCGATAGTGCAAGGAAAAAGAAATGGACTAGCATCTTGTACCAATTCTCCCATGATGTTGAGACGACGACAGTTGTGACTCTTATACACGCCGTGGGAATCTACAGATCTTTCGGTTCTGTGATGATCGACGGATCCTTCGGGACGAAGATGTACTCCTACTTCCGTGTCCACAACTAAACAGAAGGTAAAAGATGATAATTAAATTTTTATATCATTTTAAAATATTAATTCAGATTTCATTAATAACAAATTTGAAAATTTTAAGCATATAATTTTCTTATTGTATGAAAATCCATGTAAATTCTGCTTTATTAGAGAAGTCAGTAACATATTCATTGACTTTTCCTTAGTATTTTTGGGTCTTTTGGGCTGATAAAGCAGAATTTACATGAACAATTTTCTTTAAACAAAAATTCCTAATTAAAAACAAGGAAATGCTCCAAATAATGATCTTCTCAAGGCCAAAAACATCAATATTCGTAACTACATAATCTACGTAAACTTTGCAATTTTCTCTCACAGTATTGAAGAAATTTGCAATATACTGAGTATCAAACAAAGAATTTACTTCTGATGAATAGACTTGGCAACATCATGAGCAGGATGTGTTATTTTGCCCTGCTACAAATCATTGGAATCACTTACATTCGAAATTCCTCATCAATACCAAGTCTACTCCATGTATGCAATTTTCATTTGATCATAGTGTATTTTTACCTTCTAAGATAAAAATCGTATATCTTTCAAGTGACAACAGATATATTTATAGGGTGTCCAAAAAGTTACTGTGGAAAATGTTTAAGTAAAGTTTTATGTAGGATATTGCAGTTTCTCCTGCAACAAACACTGGAAATGTCCCCCCAAAGGTTCAAAAATCTGGAGGGATGAGGTCTGGAGTCCTCACAGGCCACAATCTACAAAGAAGTTTTTCAAACATCTAACTGGAACATCTGAGAGCAAGCAGAAATACCATCGTGGAAACACTGGACACACAAACTTGTGGGTCTTGTACACAATGTCATACACGTAACTTTAATTTTATTATAAATTCACTGCACAGTAACTTTTTGGACACCCTGTATATGCACAAAATAAAGCAGTAAGCGATTTCATCAATAATAATTAATTTCAATTATACTGATGATAGAAAAATCATTGTGCATACACCCATACAACTGCAATAAAGCACATAATGTATTTAACTAACCACATTCTAGTACAAAAATAAATATTAATTTTACCTGATTCGGGATTCATCCTCATTTGAACGTAATTCATAATTAGATTATTTGTTTCGTTAGGATTATTTAAACTGACTATTTGATGTTTTGTCTCCTGGACCAAGACGTGAAGCCAAACACATAAATTAGTTGCGATCATGTGCATTAATCCAAATCTGGCAACTGTTTTATATTTGTTGATGGCCATCTAATAATAATAATAAAATAGATAAAACATACATGATTATAAAGTATAATAACTAGAGCTTTTAAAAAATATAAAATTGTATTAATAATTTGTATGTTTTCCTTATACGATTCGTGATTTTGCATGCATGAAATTCCGATAATGTTTAAGTGAATGTTTGGATTCTATAATTTGGATTGGAATATTCTAATTTGTGGAACTAAGATTATTAGAAAGTTTTAAAAACATTAAAAAATTTTGACATTAAATTCTTGATGCAATTTGCTTGTAAAGATCAAATTGACACAAATGAGAAGACTGCCATAAAGTCATATACAATTGTTACAGGAAATTCTGAATTTGCAGCAACAACACTATGCCAAGTGTGGTGATAAACAGTCTGAATTACCTATACAAGTCAGATGAGTGCAAATAAATACTCATAGTTTAGCAATATATTAATAGAACTCTGACAGGAAGAAAATCCTTTATCAGTCTCTGTAAGAGAGCAATGAAGGAAACAGTCACACTCAATTGTGTGGCTGTATCCTATAATTAAATTACTATTAACTTGAACAAAGTTTTCTTCCCTATCCATCTTTAAGCTGGAATTAAGATAATTTGTTATTACGTTTGTATCGATACAAGCCATATATTAAGGAATATGTTCATTCCAACAATGTTCTTAATTAATGTGAAAATGAAATTGGTAAATTTAATTTTATTCTTTTAATCTTTCTTCATCACTGATGCTTGAGAATTTGATAAAATAAAAAAGGAAGTTGAGTTTTGAATGAAATCTAGTTTTTGCCTTTTACTAACATAAGTTTAAAAAATAAATAAGTTTAAAAATAAAGAAATAACATTGAACATTAAAAGACGGAAACTCGATACCTGGGCCACATCATAAGAGGAGAGAAGTACAATCTACTGCAAGTTATAATTCAAGGAAAAATAAAAAGGAGAAGTAGAAAAAAGAGAAGAATATCATGGCTAATCAACTGGAGACAATGGTATGACTGTAGTTCCAGCCAACTTTTCAGAGCAGCAGTGTCAAAAGAGAAGTTAGCTATGATGATTGCCAACCTTCGGAACAGAGATGGCACTTCAAGAAGAAGATAACACAAGTTTATGCATCATTCTAGGGTGTGTCAATAAATTATGTAATGCATATATAAGAGGATGGGTATGCAGGTAATTGTTATGGCATGTTATTTGAGGAGGTGAGCATGTTTATACAGCTAAGACAGTTATACAGTTAAGTTATAGAAGTAAAAATTAGGTTACATGTACAATTTTTTTGAATGACATAACAAGTTTTATGGAATGTCAACTTATCGAGAGTTCAGTTTCCTAAACTCTACTATAACACTCAGATTCTCCTATCAATCCTTGGGTAATAGAATGGTTCATTAATGTTTCTGCATAGTTAATTGTGTCATTTATGTTCTTTGTATATTATATATGTTATTAATAAAATAACGTAACATTCAGTGCCTCATGCCGAGTATTATTTCTTAGTACTATTAAGGGTGTTGATCAAAGATATGCATTTTGCAATTTTCAGAGGTGAGTACGTATGACATTATGAAACATTACAGAATGTAACTAATTAAAATAGCCATATGCTTATTGTTATAGAATTTAAAAATGGAGTAGAAAGAATTATAAAGGTAATGTTAAATATCCTATTGAATAATTTAATGTATTAATATAAAATATCTCCTCCAACAGCTTAGCTTCATGACATATTTATCAATATGCTGAAGAACACTCGATCCAAATCTTTATTCTGAGGTAAGTGCTAATAGAGAAAGCTGATGCTGAAAGTCACAAATAACGATGGCAAATATGCAAATTCAGGAGACAGAAGTTGTTAAATAATATTTCCCAAGAATTGCACTGAATGCAATTTACTGATTTCTAAAGAAATTATTGTATTACGACTGTCTGAAATTTTACAAATATTCAATATCTATATTGATTAATACATCTCATTGCATGTCAGAATAACAGTATATAAATCTCATTCCTATTCTTATAAAAATAAGATTAATAAATGGTTTTGTCAAAATTACTGTACTCAATAGAACTCGATAGATTCAAAATGAAAATTTAATTTACAAATTAAAAAAGCCTAAGTTTAGAGGAGAAATAATATAAAACTCATTATTTGTGTTTGTTTTTTGGCTCATAATTACTTAGTTGGGCAACTCTCTAGACTAGGATGAAAGTTTGATTTATGTTAAAATGTATACAAACTGTCTGTCAGCATTAGAAAGACACCAGTACTTTCAGCAATGCATTAATGTTGTCTTTGGGCAAGGAAGATTTAACAAGTTCTATAATCGATCTGCCTTGCCTGAAGACGACATTAATGCAGTCAAAAGTACTAGAACACGAAGTAACAAATTAGTTATGGATAGTAACTAATTAATTTAATCGTTGTTTTGGATAGAAAATGAGTTAAGGGAATAGAATGTGTTCCAGAACTAAGATCATGAGATTTCTAACTTCTCTCCGGGAATCATTACAGACTATAATTTTGTTGAGAACTATACATAATTTGTGAAATAAACTATTGTTAAAAAGAATCTGAAGATTCTTCAAAGCAGAAAATAAACAAAAGTAACAAAAAAATTTAACTGGAATACATTAAGTAATGTAATATCTTCAATTTTGTATATTTTTATAATACTTAATAAAGAAAGAATTTCAAAAATTCTCTTGCAGTTTAACTCATTAAATATCAAAAACTATTTATTTAACATACCCTTGAATTCAAGAAAATAAAATAAAGTTGAATGAATGTGAAAGCCATTCTGCTGCTGGGTGTCAGTGCAAACAAAACATTGTAACATGCAGTGTCCTGCTGAATTTCAAAAAACTGCCCAAACTCCAGACCCGAGTAAATCATGCTGCCGATGCCAAATGCTATAAAGATACATTAAGTGGTAGTAAATGATTAATGTGTAAATTAAATAAGTTGCTTCATACTCACCGACGGCACCCAGACGGAGATAGAAACTCCCGCAGTGGGGAGCGTCATCCACCTTCCTTTTGTGGTGGTTAGTAACGTGATCGAAACTGGAACAACTGTTACCGTGAGGCGGTAAGCTCGAACTGACCTTTTTAATAATACTTCTGAACAACGAAGAGGAAGGACGTTTGGATTTCTTCTTCTGTGAACCCGATCTTAGCAGGAATAAGTAAACATACACCAGAAAAGCAATACTTCCCAGATATAAGTAGAGATAGAAGCCCTGTACGAACAAATAATTTTTTATAATGACACTTACAAAATGAAAGTATGTAGTTTAATGAATTGTATTTAATCTTTTATTACAATTTTTAAAAATTGTTGGGACGAATTTACTTTAACAGAAAAAATTATATTTCATTTATAAACATACTCTGCACGTAGATATATATAGAAAATCAAGCCTGAATTATATTAATAGTTACATGAAAGAACCTTATTAAGTGTCAGGTTAAAACCTGGCTAATTAATTACATAGTTAGTACATAATTTGGACTAAAGGTATGCAATTAAGCCTGACATATTGATACTATCAATATGTCGGACTTCAGGATGTTGATGTATTTAAGATTTTATGTCAATAAGTCTTGGCATGAGCCAAAATTTGTATTAATGGCTGAACTCTAGCTTATTTTAAAAGTTATGTACCTTTTACAGGCTAAGTTTGTATTAAAAAATTTCCTATTTGTTATATTATAAGATGAATTCTAAATATATATATATATTTTTTTTATGGTTAACCAGATGGCTGAGGCAATTAAGACATCAGCCTACTGCTCTGGGAGGTCCTGGATTAAATCAGAGAGGTAAAAATATTCCAGGAAACCTAACATATATCTTAGATATGTCGGGCTCCATCCCTCATTATCTGGATGCACCATTGTGGGCCTGGTCAAACCCATGATGAGTGTGATTTAAAAAGGTCCTCTTAAATATCCACAGACCACAAAGAGTTGAAAAAAAAAAACTTTTTTCTCTATTTATAATTTTATGTAAATGTAACCTTTATTCTATGATAAAAATTGCTCCAAGCCATAAATACTATATTAAATATACAGATTATAAAATGTTATCATTACCAAAAGTAAACTAAGATTAATAAGTTACATAAACATCATAAACACAAGAAATAACTATCAACATACACAACAAAATATATAATTTATGGCTGAAGTAAATGTATTTCAAAAAACTCCACAAATACCTTAAAAATCGCATTATACCATTTAATTTCTAACATTTTCGGCTACATTTAACTGACTAAAATTAATACAATCATATTTAACTGGCCTTATTTGTGGAGTGTCTTACTATTAAGCATTGCATTTCTTAGTAGTTGTAATGTCTTTCAGTTAATAAAAATTTAATATATTATATAAATCTTACCTCGTAAAATGAAATTGGTATCTTGTGCGATATTACTTCAGCCAACGGAAAGCAAATTCCCATCACCACTAGTAACTTGGCATAGACGGCACTCAACATTACTATCATGGCATCACTACAATGTAAAAGAAATAGTTTAATGACATTTTAAAGTTATTGGAGAAAAGAAATCAATACAAAACCAACTGATTCTATATATAAATCAGTTATTATAAACAATATTTTATCACCAATGATTGAAATTATCAAGATAATTTTTCTTTTGTTTCTTTTAACTCTCTCTATTCTGTGGGCAGTAAGAAATCCTTTTTAGAAGTCCATTATGGGTTTGGCCAGCCCACAATGGGGCAGCAGGGCGGCAAGACAAGGCCTGACATATCCACCCCAAAATATTCCTGGGGGTTTTCAATCAGTCTGCATTTAAACACAGGGTCTCCCAAAGTGGTAGGCTGCATCTTAACTGCTTGGCCATTCATTGGCTGTCAATAGTTTGATAAATTTAATATTTATAAATAAATTATTATATTTATCATGTGTGTGACCAGTATGGTTATATCTAAATTTGTTAATGACACGGAAAGTAAAGATTGAATGGAGGTTCAAGTAGAATAACTGGCAATGTAACTACATGGTAAGTTGAGGGTTCAAGTCTCATTTTGGGCTAATTCTTTTCTTCCAGAGTATTCTAAAATTAAATTAAATTAATTTTAATCATTATTATTATTAATCAGATTTAATATAATCCTGTTGATCATCTGTTCATTATGATAAATTAGGTTTTAGTTGTTATGATATAGGTAGACATATAGATTCATAATGGAAGCAACCAAATGGCGACGTATAAAGCTCAATGTATTCCAGATAGAATGCCCATAAAATATTCCTGGATAGTTGCTTATCTGGATTCAATTCCAAGTTTCCAATCCATAGGCTGATGCTTTAACTATTTTGGCCATTTGACATTAATGTTACTGGTCAAAAAATAAGTTTATCATAACTTTATATAATGGAATAAAATTTACCTTACAGATGTGCTTGTGGCATTATACAGATGTGTACTGAATAAAAAGATGAATAAAATTTTATTTTGAACAGAAGTTATCTACATGTCTTGAGGTAATCACCCTGTAAATTCAGACACTTATCATAGCACGGGCCAAGTTTCTGTATCGCTCCTTCAAAGTTTCCACTTGGAAGATAACTTCATGGATATATGGTGAAACTTTGAAACAGCTGCATAGAGCCATCAAAACAAAGAGGAATTTTGATGTCATATGTTATGGTTTCTGCATGGCAATGCATGCCCAAACACAGCACCCTGCATAAAAAGACCTGCAGCACTTTCATTAGGACCTGTCTCTGTACAAACCATATAAACTACACTCCTTGTGATTTTCATCTTTTCCTGTGATGAAGTTAATTTCCATAAAAAACGATCTGTAGAATGGTGTAAACGACTGGCTCATATTGGAGGTTGATTTCCAAATAGCCCTCATATTTTCTTTTAATTTTATATTCGTAACGGAAAATTGACTAATGTAAATTGTCATTAATATCTTATTTTTCTTTGCAGTCTTCGAATTCAAATTGTTTTTAATAATAATATGTAACAGAATCCAATATTACTCAAGTTTATTTTTTCCAAATAATGAAATAACGTTCGGTACCTGTACTGTGTATTATTTCTTAGTACAATTAAGGGGGTTGATCAAGGATATACACTACATTTAGAGGTGGATATGTGTGACAAAGTTATAGAGCATTATAAGGATGGATTGGTAATTGAAAAGTATAAAAATAGCACTACATAATTTATGTGCTATTCCGACAATAGAAAGTTAAGATGAAAAAACATAGCAAAAAGTAAATGTTTTAATGACAAAGTTGTATCTATGTTGAAAGCTGTATATTTTTATTGTACACCTGTTTTTAATCACAGCAATCAGTAGTCAGTTTAGTCTATAATATTAGCAAGAAACTTATTGAACTATATTGAACAATATCTAGCAGAATTTTCTGATAATGGTTACAAGATAATAAAGATTTTCAAAAGAATATATAAAAAAAAAAGGTGCAAACTTACTTTCAATGATTATATAATTTTTAATATACAACTGACAATTAGATTTGATTCTACCTTTGACAAAGCCATGCTTTGAAGTAAAATAATTTAAACATTTTTTTACACTTAATGATGCCCGAAGAATGAAATTAATCAAATATACAAATAATTTTTGTATAGTTATCCATTTAAGATACTAAAAATTGATTTATATAATGTTAACAAACTTCAATTGTTTGTTTCAGTGTATTTCTTCATGCTTTTTAAATCCTATCTTCCTCTTTTGTATCCATTTATACCTTTATAATTATCTGCACTAATTGCACCAAAATAAATTAAAACAATGCAATAAAATCACTGCATTACTAATTACTAAAAACTAATGAAATCAATGCTAATACAAAGAAGTGAAGCAAAATACAAAATTACATAAAATAAAGAGAAAATAAATACTTACGAACACTTAAGAAAAGTTGGCCACTAAAAGTATCCATGCAAAACTACGGAACAACCTCAGAAAGAAATGTGACGATGCAACCAAAATAACACCACGAATTGTACTTGGTAGAATTGACCAGGCCTGCATTCTACCAGCAAGTCATCTGGTCAAAAACGTGGCATGTGCTACTCGCGAGTATAATTTTATTCAAAAAAATTGTAGAGAAATGACATCTGCTAATAGATAAACTTACTAGTCAGACTGTGAGAAGACAAACTGCCCATCTCTTCGACTGGTCGTGGGCGTGGGAGGAGTACTAATGCAGGAACCTATAAATGAATTAGTTCTGGAAGGCGGCGAATGCTGAATGCACATCTCCAGATTGAGTGCCGGAGGACGTTTGTGGTGGGGACTGTTATTGAAGTTGCTGTTCGTTCCGAGACCAGAGTCTTCGCTGTCCCTCGCAGGTATGTTTGTTCTGCTTTCGGCTTCTGTAAACAAAGGAATCATTAGATATACTTGGCTATTCCATTATAAAAAAATTAAATTACTGTTTTCTCTTTAGAAAACACCACATATATATAATCTTCAAAAATAATTTAAATAGTTTCAACATTTAATGGGTATAGCTCTGATAACAGCAGAACCATAGCTTGTAGAATAATGTTGGATGGTAATTAAGTTTAAAGTATAAACTTTAGTTTAGAGATGTGATAAACATGAGATCATACATCATATACATTTCTTGAACAAATTTAAGGATGACAATTATTCTCTCAATAATGAATAGAAATGCATTAAAATAAAATAAAAAGCATTTTAACTTGGATTGCAATTTGACTAGTGATTATTAAAACTTTGTCATCAAATAATTTATATTTGATCTATCCAAAAGTAAATATCGTTTGACCAAAACAAACAGACAGATAAATATTAATACATCGCACCTTCTGTGACTGGTAGAACAGGTATCACGGGAGTGTCTGATGACTTGTTTGGCAAAGTGAAGGAAGCGCTCCGAGGTAGGATGGTGGGTTCCGGACAGGAGGTGTTATTCATCAGGAGCTTGGTGTCACCGACCACCGGTCCATCCGAAGAATCAGGAGGCGTATCCGGTGGATCCAGTCCTGCCCAGCTGCAATCAATAAAAAGTGCAAAGATTAATACTTAAAAAAAAAAGGATATAATTTCAAACAAGTCTTGTAAAAACAATCACATTTTAATACATTAAAATCTAAACTAAATTAAAACAACTAGACACAAAAAGCCTGAAAATAAAATATATTTGCATAAAAGAAAGCTGTTTTCATTCATCTATAATGCTAATTCATTAATAAATTAACATATAGTCATTGTAAATCTATAGCAATTTCACTGTATAATAGTAATATAATCACAAATTTATACAGAATATGCATAAAGGATCCTATCAGAGTTTCATTTACTGAAAACAAGACATTAGGTTAAGCTAGCTTTGTCCATAATTTGCGATTTAAATAATAACAAACTGGTTAAACTCGACTGAATTTTTTCACATTAAATACTTGAAAGTACAAGAAATGACGACAAAACAGGGTCGCTGTGACACCGGAGGTGGCACGCGGAATATGTTATTGCTACATATCACGATTAAAAAATAAATAATCTAATTACTCACAATTACAGACTATTTTTTTAATTAAAAAGGGAAGATTAATTTATTAAAACTGTCAAATAATTTCATTAAACTTTAACTTTGTTATGTTGTATTTGTCATTTAACATTGTTAAATATTTCTACATGCTTTGAACATAAAGAAAGTAACATAAAAATGCAAATTGATTTAATAATTAACATTCTAGTCCATACAAAAAACATCAGTCAGCTGCAATTATTATTCAAGATAGATGGTTTATAAACCTATCAACATTGTTAACTTGAAAGTGTACACAAGTTCTCTTTAAATATAGGCTAAAGATAATACAGTTAATTATTTCAAATGAAAATTTTTCATATTTAGAAATGAAATTCCTGATTACATTTCTATTATGTGGTGAAAATATGACAGATTTACAATCTTTGGAGTTACATAACATTCAGGAATTACACAAATAGTAATGACAGAATGTGAATAAAGGATATGAAATATTCACATCATGTATTTTTACTAGTCGTTAATAATAAACTGGACTGACGACTGCACAAAAATCCAACCTGACATGCGAGTAAAATTCTTAATTTTCGAGATTTTTGGCCTCTTTCTCCCGGCCTCGTCTCATGTTCGGTAATAAAATTTTTTGTGTATCAAAATCTAAATAAAATACAGTAAAGTATCTGTAATCTCATATGTATTAAACCTATGAGTGTTGGATTACAGAAGATTGCCAAATTACTGGATTTTGTATGCATAGACTGTACAGTAAAAAAAACACTTGGTTCATGCCTAGTTTATTGTATTAATCATGATTGTGACCGTACTGTCGACTGCAAGTGCAACAACTAGCAACCGACAGCATACACCAGTCTCACTCTGTCAAATATGCAAAGTGGTAACACGAGGGGATGCCTTCCGGGAGGTCTTTTTAAGGGAAACTGGCTCCTATTTAGGCATTACAGATGTAGAGAAAACCCGGAAAACTTCACGTGGCCAGTCCGTCTGAGAAGGCACTAACCCACTACCAAACTCCTAGTGTTCAGGGTACGAAGACCACTTGGCCACTGGTGGGCCCAAAAATGAATTTAACATTCTCTATTTAGTAAATTTAATATTTATTACATATAATAAAATTATATTAGAAATTATTCACAAATTAAAAACAATAATTCAGAAAAAGCTGTAGATTTCTAAAGATCAGTTACAAAATTGTAGAATGTTGAAGATAAAACATCCTTCCACTAAAGCATCTCCTCCATAGAAATAAATCTGAAATTTTTCTTGCAACATATTATAATGAATATAAAGATTTTCTCAATTATATTTTAATCAAATATGCTATGTCCATCAGACAGAAGGAAAAGGATTATAAAATTGCAAAATTAATGGAATAAGGCAATGCAATACAGACATTCTGCTAAGAAACTAGCTCCATTTGGATGAAGAAATCCCAGAAAATTCCACACGGCCAGAAGCAAACCTGCGACAAACTACCAGCATTCCGCAATTTATCCACTCGACTGTTAGTGGGCACTCAGACAGAAAAAGCTCTTCATCAGTAATCAACTTCAAAATAAAAAATATTTTTTTTTATAAAGGAAAGGTTTAATTTTTATTCCTATGGACAGTCTGCCTCCCACTAAGACAGACTGTTTGTCAGCAATGATACCTTCCTCTACACCGAAGGGGTCGGATTCCTTACACTGGTTTACCTGTTAAAAGACATACACTATTACTCAACCAATGCATATATCAGAAATTTCAAGGGTTGAATTTGAACCTAGATCATTACATGTCCATTCAATGAACATAAGAATACACTGGGATAAAATCACACTTAAATCATACAGTGATGATTTCTTACGTTAACTCTAAATTCATTTATATTCATTTGTCTTCTATAATATATAGCTTGATTTTTAAAATGGGATGGTATGTTTGGGGCTAAGACCACATCCTGCCATTCCAAGGTCCATGATTCAGGCCATTTGACATAATAAACCTTATTCAATCATGAGCAAGAGATGGAGAATGACGTTATAACCCATGAAAATATAAAGGATTCGAACCCGGACTCTCCACCTCAACGGACAGATGCGTAACGTAAATTATTATTAAATACAGTATTACTTAAAATTCAATGAAAAAATTACACGAACGAGTTTTGAGCCTTCTACGTCACCGATAAAGGGCGATTTACCAGGCAAAGTTACACGATCGTCATCTACCGCTACTTTGAAATTTGCATAGGAATATTTGTAATTTCGCAAGAATTGGTCTGCAAAAGAAATGTTTTAAAAGGAAACTATTGCAGATTAAAATTCTGAGCACGTGTAACGATTCCCATAAATATTATTACGACGTTTCGTCTCTACTTCCTCCTAACTTCGAAACTAATTGAAGTTAATTTCAATGCGAATTCATGTGTAAAACGTTATGGTAATTAATTTATAATTATATAAAAATCCAATGGATATGGTATTCAAAGAGCGTACACTAATATATCACATTAATGTATAGGATGCCCTAATTGCAAAATGATGGATAAGTGCTCGAAGAGCTTTTTCATTCCCAATTATGCATGGAAATTGGCATAATTCGCATGAAAATGCTCAGCGATATCATGACGGTTTGCTCCTACCAGTAGCCGAGTGGATAAAACCACCATGTTGGTGGTTTTATCATGGGTTCGAGCCTTGCCAATGGGCTGTCCATGCGGAGTTATCTGGGTTTTCACGTTTGTAATACCTAAATAAAGCAGGTTTGTCATAAAAGTCCTCTCTCCTAGGTAGATCGCCCACGTGTCGCATTGCTGTATACGAATAAACCAACAAACCACGGAACAATAGCATTTTATCATGCGAAACTATGCAGGAATTTACTTTGAATGATATTAAAATCGGGGTGAACCTTTTGAGAAAACACTAAAGGCCTTCAAAATTAAACACGCGACTAATAAAAGTTTATTCTAGACTTGAGGAGAGGGATGCAAGGATGCAGAAGCGATGATTCTGGTATTGATGCAGATTAGAACAAGAGCAGTAGAGGAAATTCTTTGATTACAGTGTCAAACTGACGTGTTAAAACTACCACAACGATATAGATGAGGATGTTGCAAGGGCGATGCACTGGAAGGAAGATTCAACCACATAGAATATGCTTACCGGAAATCCTAAGACCTTCGACACAAATTAAACAAAATCAGATCTCTTCGAGGAAATTATTAAGCAATCAAAAATTAATTCAGTAGACAGACACTAATCAAGGGGATAAACCTCATTAACGATCATTTAAATTCCGAATTTAAGTCTATGCGTTTAGATCTGCATCCTTTTTTGCGCACTGACTTACCAAGGGTGGGGGGAATTAACAAACGGGTGGTTCAAGGTTAGAAGTCTGGTGTGGTAAACAAAATATTATATCGATTTGCATTCAAATCTGGCAAGTGACTTAGTATATTTGAGGGTAAAATTTACTTTAAAATATGAATTTTTAACCATAAAATTCTGAAATCTGAAAACTTTGAAGTGTTGGAAGCCTTCGAGTGCGGGTGGTTCAGGGTTGTGGGTTTGGGTTGATACCACCCACAGCACTCGCTGACACTTAAAAAACATTGCTGCAGAACATCTCACTTAATTTAAATAATAAATTTCGTGGATCCACATTTGCAAAATTGCCATTTCACAGGTTTTTTGAGGTGCAATTTGCTACTTTTTTCGGAATTTTGGAGGACGTCCTCTCACTTTTTCGTGTATCTTAACAGCTTTAAATGTAATTTAAAGCCCACAATTACAATTTTTCTTGAATTTTCTCGCTATATAAAGTAAAATAAAGGTATAAATTTCCAAATTAAGGGCGGAAACGATCGCTAAATCACCGTTAGTAACAGTTAAGAAGCTAAATTATCACCGGTTTTAGTATTGTGAATACCATTTCAAAGTACAGTGCAGCATCCAATTAAACGATAAAACTAATCGACGCCCTGATAAAGTAAATATTTATAATATTTAAACATTTAAATATTACGTAATTTTTAAATTATTTTACAAATTTTATTGCAGTAAGTTGCGCTAAACACGTTTAAAAATTATGTAAATTTTCTGCGCTGTAATAGAGAACCTTATAACAGTGACTAGAATAGTGATTAATTAATTATTCACATAAAATTAACTCACCTAAACATTTTTAAGGGTCTGTGAAAGGCTATCCCTTTCCTTCTTTGCATATTTATAGATTTTAAACAGTTATAAACTTGTAAAATTACGCAGCATTCTAGTCATTGATTATCAATTATTGAAGGGGTTGAAGCGATCGTCATCGAAAGTCCTTCACCAGCGATCACGTGAGACGTTACGTGGCAAGGTTCGATTATATGAAAGAGTAACAGATTTTCTGACGCTTACATCAATAATTTTCTATGTAAACAGCATACAAAATTAATTATTAATCAAACAAACTCGAGCCTTACTTGTAACTAACAGGAGCATTTTTTGAAGGGAAGTCCACCTTATTAATTTAGTGATGAATAATTGTACTTTTATTTTAAAAAATGTTCTTATAAAATGCGAGTTATAATAGCGAATAATATAATTTATTCGTAAATAATAAGGGGGTAGAAACAGGTGACTAAATTACGCCTACTCCTAAAAACAGGTAAAGGATCCCTTAGTAACATGTACATTATTTAATATTCAGTGCCCGTACAGTCTGTCATTCGGCTCGTACTTTATAACGTCACCATTTTTCAACCCATACTTAACCTAGACTAGACGAGAGAAGTATTAAACCTACGTAACAAGCTTTAAGTCATATAAAACCGCGTATAACCCGCACTAATGAGTAGTCCTTAAAGCCATTTTTAAAGTCATTTTACACATAATCAGCGATTCGAATACACTTATATTAATCATTATAACCCCCTAAAACCTTGACCCATAACAGATAAAGTAACACCACGATTACTTTGGGGGTATCTATGGTAAAACACGCTTCACTCGTTAGAAACGTATAGAAAACCCCGATTTATTGACTCTACGCCACGTAGAATCGAATTTTATAAGTCATTCAAGGTGAAAATATTCCATTTATTAATTTATAAAGACATAACCGATACGAGTGTTTGCTAAGAAGTTTTCTTATCTACACAGATAACCTATAATCGCCTATTAAAAGTCGTACAAGGGATATTTAAAAGTTATATTCTACAATAATTTATAGATAAAAAAATACCTCGTAAACATACCTGCCTAGTGTCCACCTTTTCTCTACTTGACCCGCCAATACTAAATCTCCAGACATATGCCTTTGTCTTTTAAGAAATTTCACACGCTTTAATACGGTTTCCATACCCCGATTTAACGCTTAAAACGTAAAATATCTCACCTTTTATGATGAACGAAACGAAATAAGGGACTTGCAGACATGGAAAGGGGTGTTTTTTTTCTTACATTTGCTTGTATAAATATCTCATTTACGAGTATCAAACAGGACTAGCAATCGCTTAATTGTCTCCACGTCTGTACACTGCTTATATACATACATATATATATAAACATCGTTCCTGTCACGTGATCTCCGACAACCCATCGGTGGGAGGTGAATGGTGAAAAACGGGAAGAGCAACAAATCTGTTCTATGATACACGTTTGAATTTTTTATGATTATTTTTTTATTATAAAGAGGGGGTGATCTTAATAAAGGTTCAATTAATTTATGACCTCGATTTTTATGGTAAAGAGTAATTATAATTGATAATTTTCTGGTGTTTCGAACCTCATTAAAGATGCATTACACGTATTTAAATTTTAAACTAATTTATTTTATTTTATTTTTCCTGAGCCAGTTCGTTTGTCGATTCGCTTTTTACACATAGGCGTAAACCTGTTTGGAAAAATGCACGTGTTAAATACATAATATGACGTTTAAAAGTACACCAGGATGCACACACGTGCATTCTGGTGTACTGTACGTGCTTTTTAAACGCAGCCACTACGTCTGAAGACAGTGTTCGAAAGACACCACAGTTTAAATACGTGCAGATATGAATTAAAAAGTATATATACTGTCAAACCTCTTTATAGCGTACGCCTTTTTATATATCATCACCCTCGTATAGTGTCAATGAATATTAGCATAAGAATCCTAGAAATATGCGAAGTGATACGTTGTCCTTCTTATGTGGGTACCATTAATAACGTGTACCAATGTTACCATAAGTATGTAATACAATATACGAGTACGACTTATATTGTGAACACACGCTGTAAACAATATCCACATGAAGGGCATATTTACCTCCTGTACGTGTATTCGTACCCTCACCAATGTACAAGAATGAAAGTATACACATATGAGATACAAGATACAACATGTATAAATGATACACACACACACACACACATACACACACGAAAGTTACATTGTATATCGCCTATGCATGTACCATTTACATCGTTAAAAGTATACACTGTAAATGGTATACGTTATTGAAAGTGCACCCATATAAGTGGTACACGTAAATGAGGCAAACATTGGCAAAAGTACACATTAGTTTATAGAAAAAGGACAATTGTACACCAGACTGCTATAAGATTTTCACGTTCAAGTGCTCAAGATACACGGGTACACACGTGTACTTTTCACGTGTATACCTGTGTACCAATAGGAAATTTTATGTACAGTACTGTATAAGAAAGTACGGTCGGGTACACGAAAAAGTTCTAAAAAAAATATTGGATTTCGCAATTTGAATGAATGTAAATTAGGGGGATGCTGTTACGTTTTATTTACCTGTTAGCCTATTTAATTGCTCTAAAAGATGATAATTAAATAAAACCCGTTTCGTAAACTCTCTTTACACGCCCTTCTTGTTACTTCTATAATTGTATAATTGAGTGTAATTATCTGCTACCGTTTACATTTTTTTTGGAATAAATTAATTTTAAGTGTGTAATTTAGATAAAATAAAATGTCTCCTTAAGAGTCGAAAAAAATGGCTAATAAACAATTAGGCAGGCTGCATTACACTAAATATGTTTATGAGGCATACTGTTAACAACAACTGAGTCCAAACTGGCTCCAAAACAGTAAATAAGTATAAAAACACTGTAAAATTATAAAAAATACTAATAAATTATATTCTTATGAACATAGGTGGTTCTCCTCGAAATAAATAAAGATCAAACTACAAACGATCAACCAATCAAGTTTAAAATCTGACTGTCTTAACGGCGATTGGCTCAAGTACTAAATTGAACGTTGTATCTCCGCCCATTTAATTCTCTAATTAATCTTGTTTTAAAGATATTTTATTAATATGTATAATTCTTATTTTTCACATGTAAACTAAACTACTATGCATTTAGGAACCAGTTGGGATACGTATCATAATTTTTGGAGACAGTTTTGAATATATTTTTCTGAGATTTTGGAGCCAATTTCGACAAAAACTCTCTCAGTTTTTGGCATATATTCTAATCAGCGGCGGCCTTATCCATTGCGAGGCTCGAGGCTCTTGTCCTTTGTGCAAAGTATGTGAATTGAAACAGTAGGCACTTATTAATATTAATATATACTGTACTATAAATTAAATTTATTTTATTGTTATAACTAATAGCCAAGGATAAAATAAAAAGTTTTAAATATCAACTTTTTTCTACTTGGTTGTTGCGCGAGGCCCCTCCAAGAGCGAGGCCCCGGGCGATTGCCCTGCTCGCCATCCTCTAAGGCCGCCACTGATTCTAATAAACATTTTTCGAAGGTTTGAAATTTGTGGTCCAAAACTGTCCAAAAACCGAGAAAATGTCTGTAAAAACAAACATTTTCTCGGTTTTTGGACAGACATTTTCTCGGTTTTGAAGATACTTTCGACAGACATTGTCCGAAAGTTGTTTTATTTCTTAACAGTTAAGCATGCACCTGACATATACACCTATAAATATGTATGTCAGTCCAATAATTTTTAAATCAATAACCAAAAAATCCCATGTAAAAATACCGAAAAACCATTATCTCCAGTAAAATTCGCATGAAATGATCAAACAAACCAACATTAGAAACTTAAATAAACTATATTCATTTACCCATTAGTTCAGCCTTATTATGAAGTTTAGACTACGATTTATGATAAAATTTTTCAAATAATATTTTAGCTGTGTAGCCAGTGTTCTGCTTTTTACACCAATTAACTATTAAAACATAGATTGGACCGAAAATCAGTTAACCAAGACATATTGTTTGAGAATGGTTATAACCGTGTAGGTATTCCAAATCGTTTTAATCGTTCTTATATCCCGGTTAACTAACTTTTGGTCTACCCAATACGCGTAACAGCTAAATTCTATGCTTTCTTAATCTTTTCAAAACACTTCTTTATCGTTCGATTTGAAGACTTGTAGAGAGCTTTTTTTTTGGACTCAAAATTGTGGAAATCCCTTAATTTTTGTTAGTTAGTTAGAACCATAGAGCTTGGTACAGCGTGGCCACAATGGTCCTTGTAACAAAAATGCTTGAACCAACTGAGTAGCCAATTAGCGTGGACAAATAACCGTTGACACTCGACATAACGAATATAATAGGAGGATGAGATGGTCCGATAATTCTAACTGTCCATTGTATCCAAAGATATCGTGGTCAAATATAATACAATCGTTATACGAGATATGATAACAGACAAAAATAGCCTATATTGTAATAAAGACGAATGGAAACAAACATCTTATACGTTATGCAACCTAATAATCTCATATTTCGAGTGGAACATGAGGATTAAGTCTATTGTTTCCGAGGTCCGTAAAATCGGAGGACAGTGAAACATGCGAAAACCACAAAAAATTTTTTCCTACGCACGGTATATTTTATTATACACGATGGCCCAAAAATCAGTTAACCACTGTAAACTAAACAGTTTAATTAAAATGAGATCCTTCTTGTTCAATATACACATTATAACGCTTCTACCCAACTTCAGCTATGGAAGACACGTAAAAACACATGGTTAAGTAACTTTTGAGCCACACCGTGTATTTCTTTGGACACTAAATTCATGTAAGATTTTTTGAGTTAGGAATTGCTAATTATATTTATTATTATTTTCTCTCAAAATTCCTCAATCTAAAACTAATAAATGCATCAATAACTATCAATTCATTCCTGATGGTGAGAACATAAAGTTAATTCTACAAATTCATTGCATTGGCATGGGCAAACTTGTGTCGAGTTGAGGAATTAGACTTGGAAATGGTCAAAGTAAACCAATGTAAACCTCTTTGATTTCTTTGTATTTCTTAAGTAGAGTTGTTCTTAATTCTCTGAAGAACCATCAGCAGAAACATGTTCAAAGATTTCAAGGTTTTTAAGTTGTCAATCTTCCCTGAAATCCCTACAAAGATTATAAGAATATTTTGATGTTCAATATCCTTATTTTTCATTAATATTCTTTGAACCTTGATTAAAGAAGGCTACAATTCACCATGACTAAACTAAGGCTTATTGATATACTTGCTACATATAATTAATAAATTCATTCAAATATATGAAGAGTGATGGAATAAGGTTTCACCCTTTCATTTCTTCAACTCATTAAAAATTAACTTAATTTGTATTTTATAATAATATTTTAACATTATAAAACTTGGTGCAATTTATTACGAAAGTTTTATTTGTTCTATATATATAAAATGAAGCGACCCCAATATCTTTGTATGGGTTACGAGTATCAATGTCGAACTTTAACCTGATAAATAAGTAGGTTAGACGCAATTAAGAGGTCAAAGGTGATATCTGGAGTACGAATTTTCAAGTAGAGTAACTAAATTTACTCGTAATTCTTTCCTTTAGAATTAAATTTTAGCTCTTTCTACATCTTGTGGCACAAAGAGGAATTTTTTAACACCCATTATGGGTTCAGTAGGCCCACTATGGAAAATAAGACGGTTGGAATGGGGATCATTCCGAATCAACCGTCCATGTAAATTTCCATTACCGATGAAATTCTCTAAGACAACTCGACAATGTCATTTACTGCCTTGCCATATGGCCTTCAAAATTCTTAGAAAAAATATGGTTTATTGATGATCTCAACATTCTGTTCTCATGACATAGCCACACCATCTCAGTATCGTCTTCCAAGCTTAAGTCTACAGTTACTCCATTTGCAAGCTGCCCCTAAATCAGCTTATTCATAATCTTCATCTTCCC